TTGTTGAAAAGGAGGGGCAGTTGCCCTTCTCCCTACTCTGGGGAACAAGGTTCACTGTCTGCATTTGGGATCCCCTCGTCCCTGCACTTAGGCTACTTTATTGGAGCCTAAAATTTTATGGTTCATATCCTTATTTTATTTATCGGTGTTTTTGAGATTCATTCATGTGGACTTTAAATCCAAGCAGAAGCTTTTGAATAACATTCCTGTTACCAGCAGACATATCTTTCCAGCGTTATTGTTATTTTAGCTTGCATGGTTCACTGCTGTTTCAAAATATGAAGTACTGCACTTTCTTGAGATTCATAGTTATTGGTATGTCATGAGAACACAGATTTGTAGATGTTGATGCATGGAAAAATATTTGATTATGGCACCCAAGCATGCCAGAGGGAGCATGGAAGTTTTGTACGTATTAGCTGGCTTTGCTTTTACTAATCCCATGAAATTAGTGACATTAGCAAGGGATATCGACAGTTCTACAGGAAGCTAGGATGAAAATACACTCTTGGACCTGAAGCATGTAAGACGTGTCTCTGAGTATCACCTTTAGAATTGGTGTTGTTCGGGATTGATAGAAATATCACTAGAGGGACAACAAACATTTCTAGATTTCCTGGTATTTATGCTCTTATTCTTTAATTTAAAGTTTTAAAGCCACAACAACAATGGGACAAAGGGAGAGGTGATATCTCAGAGCAGAAATGTAACTGAGGGTCAAGCTTCTTCCATGCTTACTTGAAATGGTTTCATGAGCAGAGAACTAGATATGGGGCTGTAGCCCCTGGGACATACTCATTTATGTATCAGATTAACACAAAGCCCAGAGGGGAAGTAATGAAAACCTAGGCCTCGGATAGAAATACAAAGGGCCTTAAGCCTTAAATGAAGACAAACTTCTCATTTGGCTTTAAATAAGGCCATAGGCTGAGTTTGAAATGTAATTTTAGTCCAGAGATGAGACAAGCATAGCAATAGGTAAGAGTGCCATTCTTCTCTTTCATTTGTGTTTGGGACCAAGTTAAAGAATTTGAAATTCTGCCCTTTCAAATATTCCTACTTAGAAATCAGACAATTGTGCCACCGTTTTCCATGTTGACTTTTGCCATCCTGTCACTTTTTCTCCCGAGTGCCATGTGGTGTCTTTGGTGTGTATCTCAAGACTCCATGTATGAGGGTTCTCTGTATTGTGGTGTTTGTTCTGTGTGTTTTGTTTACATAGGAATCTTAATATTTCACTCACATTTTCACAATAAATTTTCTACTCACACTGCTGTTTGCACTGGAAAATCATGCCAAATTTAAAAGCAAAAGGAGCAAATCTGTGTTTACACTGTTGTAGAATCATTTAAATACACTTATTGTGTCTCTAAGATTTTAATTCCCCATTGTGTACTATCAGTGTCTATGTTGAAAATCTGATTTTTTAAAAAATCACATTGACCAAAGAACCCCTCTTTTTATATGTCCTGCACATACTTGTCCTTTGTGAGCACATATATGTCCTTTGTGCTCCATTGTGTAGAACTCTGATGCTGATATGCACATACTGTAAGATGCAGTTGTTGAACAGATGAGATCCCAAGATTTGTGGGATGAAAATGTATATGACCTTCGTTGCATGCAAATATGGTATATATTTATAAAATTAGGAAAACTATTTAAGTGGCTATGTGAGAGTTCTGGCTTTAGTGTACATTGTGTCATGTGTTAGTTAATATCTGTAGTGGAACTGGTTATTATTCAAATTTTGCTTCATATTAACACATTGTGTGCATTTCTATAGGGAACATTATTATTAATTTTCACTGTTAGAGGTGAAATTTGTCTAGATTCACTATTAGAGGGGAAATTTGTCTAGATTCCTGAAATTGAATGATTTTTGATGATGTCATTATTCTTTGTGACATCCATTTGTAAGATGCAATTCAGTTAAATCCCCCAAGTATATAGGAAAATAAAATAATTGCTGAAGAATATGTTATTTTGCATCTTGAAATCTGATTTTATAGTCACAGTGATCAAAGTATCATTCAATCCAAGCAAAAGAATTTGAGAACATGTCACATTTGCATGCAGTATCTGGATCTGAAACCCTTTACACAAAATCATGATATTCAACCCAGTACATACTGTTTCTCCAGTATTATTGAAAGACCAAAATAATATGCTGCTCACCTTCAGGAGATAAAAACCAGTGGTATGCACTTACAGAGCAAATCTTTGATATAAATATGAAGAATGTTTATAATTTAAAATACCTTTACAGGGAACTATAATAGCCCTTAATTATTAATCATTAAGGCTCAATGGGTGATGGAAAGAACTCACTTTCTGCCTTGAGAGAAATGGGTCTGTTTTGTGCACTGAACATTCATAACAGAACACGGTAGGAACAAGTAGTCTGAATTGGCAGCCTCATTCTACTTTTTACCTGAAGGGTTTATAGGAAATCATTCTGCATGTGTAGTATAGATTGAGGGATGGCATATAAAAAGAGATGAGGCCAACCCCAGGAAGCAGAGTGAGCTGTGTGTAGCATCTAAGGTCTCATACTTGGTTCACTGTTACAGTTTCTGTGGACACAGGGTTAAGTAGGGCTTGAGGGGAGTGATACAAACTTGACTGGGTTTGCAAAACGTAGCAGTATATATGGAGAAGAATTCTACACCAGATCCCTCACCTTTCCCAGGCCCAAGTTGAGGACAGTGCCTACTTTTTTTATTAGTTTTCTGTGCTTACATAAAAGAAATGAGTTAAATTTAAGGAAGACGTAAATTGTCAAGGCAGAAGAATAATGTATAATGTGCTGTAAACCATGCAAATTTGCAAATATATGCCAAGTGCTAAGTGCAAAAATACATTGTGATGTAACCACTTGAAGAAACACTACTCAGTAATGAAAAGGATGAAGCTGTGGTTGAAAGTAATGGCATGACAAGCTGTAAGAACACTGAACACCATGCCTTCATGCTCTGTAATACCATTTATATGAACTGAAGGAAATGGTGAAAATTTGGTGACAGGAATACTTTCTTAGGGTACACAAATGTCTCTATTCTATATGTACCACATAAAATTAAAATGTGGTGACACAAAGTGGACCAGTGGTTTCTGGGCCTCACATTTAACATTGGTGAGTCTTACTATATGCAAATAATACCCAAGAATGCATTAAAAAAAACCCAGCATGGTAAGACTTAGCAGTCAGTGCAATGAGGGGACCTTGTAACTTATTAATACTTGGAAATGAACATAAAAATCACTGGAACAGTGTAGGCTACACCCAAAATCTGAAAAAAAAAAATCTGTCATGTGGCATTTCACTTTGCATCAATATCAACTGGCCTCAAAGCTTCGATCTCCCTTCTTTGGCAATTATAGATGTGCACTCCGTTTCCCATTGAAATTCTCAACTTAAAGAAGTCATGCCCATGAGTTCTTTGGACTGCTGTAATTGTTGAGTAAACGAAGCTGAGGGGCAAGATATTTAATAACCACTGAGTGCCATTTGAAATATACATTTCAAATGCTAGATTAGACAAGAAATTGAAGATTTGCAAATGTCAGAACCCAGAACTGTCTCTTACCTGATCAGTTGACTGGCTCCTACAGTTTAAAGTTGACCAATGTTTTGAGGAGGAAAATTAGTGATTTCTAATATGTAGCAAACTGAAAATTAGGTATCATTCCTTAAACATGTTTTCCACTCTTATTGTATTATATCATTTTCTATCTATATCAAGCCATCATGAAGTTTTGAGTAAAGTTTATGAATATGGGTTAAGAGTTTCTAGATAAATGTAGTGATGCACACTTGTATTCCTAACTGTCATGAAGCTGATCCAAAAAGATTATATGTTTGAAACCAGCCTGAGATACATTAAGTTCAAACTCCACCTGAGTTATATAGTAAGACAAAAAGAAACAATAACAGTAAAGAAGAAAAGAATTCATGATTATGGGAATATTTAATAGACTTTATGAATATATGTATATCTGCATGTGCACATGTATATAACATTGAAAAATTTAAATGACCATGTAGTGATGCCAATAATGTTTAGAGGTTCATGTTAACTTTCTTCTTTCACATACTCTACAAGGTAGCCATCTATACCTATTGGTTTCTTAGTGCACACAGAAAGATGTTAAGTAATTTTTATGAGTCATTATAGTTAAACCTCATACCAACTTTAAAAATTGAACACGTGATCAAAGATTCCATCCGCAGAGCAAAATTTTGATCTGACACTAATTAGTGGGATATTTGCACATGGCCTCAAGGACAATGCTTGGTAAAAGGATATTATTACATTTAATAGAATTGGACAGGGGACATTGAGCTTGGTGTCGCTCACTCTGCTCTGAACTAGGGTGGCCATAACTGAACTTTTGCCTAGACACTTTGACTCTACCAATGTCAGTCCATGGAAGATTGACATGTATCTTATAGATGGTGGTCAAAAATGGACTACCAAGTGAGGTAATGTGTAGTTATTTGTGTACATTCTTGCAAAACTAGATTTGCATGCTGTGCTTTCAGTATGTATATGATACAAAACAGAGACTAAAATTGGATAATGGAACATAATTAATATTCATACTTTACTATGTGGTATGAAGTTCAAGTTTGGGCAATGATATAAACAAATTTTTGTGTTATAATGCCCACACTAGTCAGAATTTGAGTTTTCATAAATCTTTAATTACACATGGATATTATCAAACTGTGACAATTGTTGGTCCTAAATGAGAAAAACACTTAGTGTACAGAAACTAATGGGAACATTTTTCATCTTCTTATCATACCATGCTTTGGGCTTATTGTTATCTATTTCCCAAGAAAGTAGAAATGCCTTTTTTTAGACTAAAATCATTCTTCATAGCATAAACAGTAGACAGGAGCTGTGCGGATTTAATGAAACAATCAACATTCAGTGAAACTGACAACCTTTATTTCTATCTGTTGTGTGTGTGTGTGTTTTCTCTCCTTACAGATGGACCCTATTCAGAAAGCTGTAATAAACCATACATTCGGGGTTCCTCTTCCTCACCGGAGAAAGCAAATCATCTCATGCAACATTTGCCAGTTGAGATTTAATTCAGATGTGAGTGTACCACTTAGTCACTACAAAATGTATTATATGCTTTCAGTTTCCAGGTCTCTTTTATTCCAGCATCTGAGTATGCCCAACTCCAAAGACAGCATGCAAGTCCCTGTGTTCTTTAATTTGGGAGTTTACCGTATTATGTTTAACTATTTACTATAGAAAAGTTGCATTACAGCTAGATATACTTGAAGTTTAATATTTTGGTTTTAGTGTCTTGAGAATACTTAATGGATATCACATGCTTTGTCTTTGGAGATTATCAAATTCAGAGCCAGTGAAGATTTTAATAGATTACATCTCTGAAGTAAGACAGATCATCTCCCAAGACCAACCAAGACTTTGGCTCAACTCTTTTTGCTCACTATTGACAGGCTCCCATTTCCAAATTAGTGCTGTGGGAGGCCTGTGTGTGTGTGTGTGTGTGTGTGTGTGAGTTTGTGTGTGTGTGTGTGTGTGTGTGTGTGTGTGTGTGTGTGTGTGTGTGTATTCGGAAGTACAAATGTCAGGGAACGCCAAAGACCTTAATTTCTAAAACACAAGTTGAATGGAGATTCCATGGGAAACAAGATAGAAGGGGAGTTGGCCAGTGGTTTGAAAATGTTGGAAAGGCTGTTACACTGTTTACAATTTTATGAGTAGGAAGGTAGATTATGGATCCATCCCAAGTGATACCTGTGTTTACTTGTAGCAAATATGAAAATGTTTGTGACTCTCAGTCCCTGAATCTGCTTTGGTGACAAATTGCGCTTAGAATAAAGAATTGTAGATATAGAAGAAACAGGTCTTTCATTCTGAGAGAAAATAGAAAGCCCATGGATTGATTATTCCTAGTAATGAGCCATGCAGTATTTCCAGGGGATGTTCCCAGTTTGGGAGGGCATTTCTTTTTCCCTAGATTGATATCCCAGTCATGGCTAGAAACTAGAAATGTTATTCAATAAACTTTAAGTGACCTATACTTTCACAGATCCCATTATTAACATTAACCTGTAGAAGGTAATACAGGAACTTTTACCGTGTTTCTTTTCTCCAATACAATATTACTTTCTTATTAAAAATACCATAGCCATTTGTTTTGCTAATAGTGTTTCCAGGTGCATAGGGTCCACATGTGTGTTTATCAGGGATAGCTGGCAACTATTCTCACAGTTTTACTGTATGGCCCGTGGTTAAATGAATGTGGACAAGTTTTTTGTGGTATTTGGGATTACAGGTCTGGGTCATCATTAACCACTGCAGGTTCGACCCTATCACTGGACAGTGTGTGTACTAGTTTTTTATTTGCACTGTGACTGGAAAGAACAAAAAACATGCCACCTTGTTTTGGGAGCAAGAAGTGCAGCATAGGCCTCCCTGGATATTATTAGGTAATTAAAAGATTTTGTTGCTACAAGGGACTCTGAAGAACATAGTTCCTTCTGGTTTCCAGTTTGTAGAAGTTTGTGAGTCTCTCCACTTCTCTGGATAACAGAGGGGTTTTCAGGTCTTAACTACATTGCTTTGACTCTTCTACCTCACTCCTGCATAGCAACAGATCATACTGGGCTAACCTCATTATCCAGCATAATTACCTCCCTTTTTTGTTTGTTTGTTTTTCAAGACAGGGTTTCTCTATATTGCTTTGGAACCTGTCCTGAAACTAGCTCTATAGACAAGGCTGGACTTGAACTCAAAGAGATCCGCCTGCCTCTGCCTCCCTACTGCTGAGATTAAAGACTTGTGCCACCAATTCCTGGCTCTAACCCCACTTTTCTGTGTTGTAATCATATGTCGAATTTCAAGAGATGAGATTTTAGCCATCTTTGGGAAGTCACTATCTACCACTGTCTGAGAAGTCTGACCATAGTTCCAGCTGCAAATCATGAACATTAAGTTTATAGCCATGACATTATAAAACACAGAGGAATGAACTATGTGATTTATAAGCTCCTACACATTCCTTGCTCTTACATTTTTCTTTATATTTAATGTTTAATATAAATGCACTATGTAGGATTAATACTTAAATGATTGTTACTATATTTGTTTAGTTATTTACACATGTATGTGCATGAGCATGAGTTTGTCACAACTTGTGTGTGAAGGTCAGAGTCAATCTTTCCTTCCAACATATGTGTCCCAGCAACCAAACTTATGCCCTCAGAGTTAGTGGCAAACCCTGTTACCCTCTAAATAATCTTGCCACCCTAGAGTTACACTTTTTCAACAACAGCTTTATTTACTTTCTAAATATAAACATCTAATGTAGATTTGGAAGAAAGACAAAAATTTCAGTACATTTTGCTAACAAAATATAAATTATTATTGTAGAATTAAAATATAACAATGATCCTCCCTTAGAGATATAGAATTACCCTTGTACCTTTGTGCTTCAATAAGAAATAAGCGTTGGAAAGCAAAGGGATTGTGTGCTTACTGACTTGTATATTATAAAATACTAACTTTGTTAACTATTTAGGTGCTGAAAGACACTATCAATTAGATTTATCAATTTATAACTTTACAATAATGCAATCCATATATAAAGAAATCAACATACATATATGGGATATTGTAATATTTTAATTTCAAGGAAACCCTTCCTAGTCCCCAAACCATGGCCCATTTGTTCTTTCCAGGTAATCTGGATTTTATTTTCTTATTTCTGATTTTAAGCCTGAAATGTACTGGAGCAACATTGTAATTCACTTGTATGCTTGATTGAATTTTCTGTCACCAGGAAAGTGTTTTTGCCACAGGAACCTTTTTACATTTCAAAGCTTCTCCACTTTCCACTGAAAATAATAGCTTATAGTTCTTTTCATCTCTGGATCATGAAAATTCAATTTCATCACACTCTCTAAGCTTTTATTTATTTTTAACCCTTTATATTAAAAATAATGTAGTTTGATGTTATACCTATCTGTTTCTTATATGCTATAATTTCCACACAGGGCCATGCAGATAACTTTTAAAATGGCACAAACTATATTGAATTCAGTTAAATCAAGTTGCCTTTTCTTGAAACAAACTTCTTACTAAAAATATTATAATATTCATATGAATATACTGGATGGAGTTACATAAAAACATCCAATTAAAGGCTTAAAGTTTGTAATATGTTAATTTATTTTATCATCATCTTGAAAAACGTGGCCTGAGAAAGTTAGTATTCATGCTTTTGAGACAACTTAAAACTGGGACAACAGGAATTTAAGATGATTGAGTGAAAGAAAGAGCAAATATTTAATGATTGTGAAACATGAAATAAGATCTCAAGTTACAAACCAAGGAATATAAAATGTGTTTGGAGTCAAACCCATAATAACAGAGTTTTTCGGTATGCTAGAGGCAGAAGAAACTGCTAATTTCTTATGCCAAGTTAACATATACCATCAGAGATTTGTAAGTGGTCAGTTGGCCAAAAGCTGGTATTCCAGTCTCATTTCTGTTGCAGTGATAAAATAGTTTCAAAAAAGCAATTTAGGGGAGACGTAGTTTTAGCTAGCAATTCCAGGTCATAGTCCATCAATGTGGGGAAGCCACACAGCAGTAAGAACCTGACACATCACAGCCATAGGCAAGTGCAGAGACAGAGAGATGCACTCATATCACTTGCTTGTTAGTTCTCTCATTGCATAGGATGCTGCAGACTACCATGGATGAAGCTCTGTATACTTCCTCATAAGCCACACTGTCCCATGGAAGATAGTCTTGAATTTCACTGGATTAATGGTTGGGCTCAAAACTGATGTGGAGAAAATGTGGGCCTTACCCTCAAAGATTCCTAGTTCTTTTTACTCCATCCCAATGACAACTGAAGAATAGACACACTTACAGTTCAAATACAAGTTAAAACTCAAATGCTTGAATTATAACTCAGGACTATCAACCATTAATTATTTTTAGGATTTTATTTGATGAAGCAACAGAGGAAACAGGATATTATTAGAAGGTACCATGGCTCAGAGCCTCTGACACTTTATTTATTTATTTATCTATTTATCTATTTATTTATTTATTTGATATAACCAAGTCCATTTAAATGAAAACAAACATTTATAGACAATATTTGGGAATTTGGGCGTCGTTCTTTCCAAACTACATCCTGCTGATAAGGAGCGCTGTCATGGGAGATTCTAAGAAGATACAGAAATCCTGGCTGTAGTCCGTAAGGCTGCTTTGTCCAGCTGTTTTGAATGTAGGATCACCTGGTACTGTTTCAGGTGGTCTGGCTTGATCAAACCACATTAGCCTGGAAGGAATCCACAGCTTTTCACTTTCTGTGGAAACAAAAATAGAAATCCTTTTCCCCAGTAACTTGTCCTTGAACTTACAGTTTGGAGACAAAGCATTTTTTTTATTTAATTTATTATTTTACATGTCGATCCAAGTTCCCTCTCTCTCGCTCCTTCCTCCCTCCCGTCCTCCCTCTCTCCTCCCCTCTCTTCCTCCTTTTACCCTCTCTGCCCTCTCACATGCACCCTAACCACCCTCCCCTCCCATCCCCCCACCCCAATTCCATATGTAGGGGAATGCCATCCAGTTGGCGTTATGTAGATCTGACAGGTCATGTGAAGTAGGGACTAGGGCTTCTCTCCTGTCTCTAGATTAAGACAGTTATCCCTCCATGGGGGATGTGTTAGCAAGGTCCTTTTGTGCACCAGGGATACATCCTGGCTCCACTGTCTGAGGTTCCTTAGACTGCTCAGCCCTTCTGGCTGAGACCCATATTCACAGGGGGCTGAGTCAGTCCCATGCTAGCTTCCCAGCTATCAGTCTGGTGGCCCATTAGCTCCTCCATGTTCAGGTAAGCTGTCTCTATGTGTTTCTGCCACCTGGTCTTGTCCTCCTCATATGCATCTGGGTTCTAGTTCGACTCAGTGTTTATGTATGAGTGTTTGCTCCCCATCTAACACCAACAGGTGTTAGATGAAGGCTCCATGGATAACTTAGTTGTTGATATCACTATCTGGGAAGGGCATTTATGGTAGCCATTCCACAGATGCTCAAATTGT